TACCAATGCCCAAAAAAATAGCAATTGTAAACCGCTTTGTGACTCTGGTCTGTGAACGGTATATAAATAAAGATCCATCCATCTTCTACCCTTTAATCCATTTCTGGGTCAGGGGGGTGGCAATCAGAGATGCCACCCAAGTCTCATAGCACCAGCCCCTCACTGACCCTCTGCAGGTGGTGAGTCCACAGGAGGACGGCTGCTCTCTGAGTGTGAGCATGGCCTTGATCTTTCAGTGGGGGCTTTGGGCAAAGTGGGGTTAAGTGTCTTGCCCAAGGACACATCGACAGCAGTCATCAGTGGGAGTCGGTGGAGAAGGTGTAGAGGTGGAAATTGAACCCACGACCTTCAGGCCTGAAGGCCAATGCTCTACCAACTGAGCTACTGTCGCCCCATAAATGAAGATTACTTACCATATTACAATTGCTTGAATTTCAAGTTTCAACCAATGTGAGAGCGCGGAAGGCAGGTGTTGTAGTTAGTTGTGGGTGACGTCAAGAGTTTGCGTGGAACGGGCAGGTTTTAGTTTGGCAATGGCGAAAAATGCGATAGTAAAGTTATCCGGCCTGTTATCCGAGCGAGAGGAATGTTTAGCAAGTGTAATTGCTGCAAAGATTGTGGCGCTACTCCCCACGGGCTCCGTTAGTGGCAAAGGAGATGGCTAAAGCTAGGCTAAATGCTACATGCTAACGACTCACTTGGGCGCACTACTTAGGTCACGGTAAACTCAGATACAATGGTTTCAATCTGCAAAAGGAGTTAACCCCTGTAATTTGTACTATGGAGTGGTACGACCAGGCTAGGTACATACAGTGGGGCAAAAAAGTAGTCAGCCACCGATTGTGCAAGTTCTCCCACTTAAAATAATGACAGAGGTCTGTAATTTTCATCATAGGTACACTTCAACTGTGAGAGACAGAATGTGAAAAGAAAATCCTGGAATTCACATTGTAGGATTTTTAAAGAATGAATTTGTAAATTATGGTGGAAAATAAGTATTTGGTCAATAACAAAAATTGAACTCAATACTTTGTAATATAACCTTTGTTGGCAATAACAGAGGTCAAACAGTTACTATAGGTCTTTACCAGGTCTTTACAATAGGTCTATACCAGGAGTCCCTCCTGGACCCCCTGCAGTTCTCCTACAGAGCCAACAGATCTTTAGTCGACGTCATTAACCTGGCCCTCCACTACATCCTACAGCACCTAGACTTCCCGGGGACCAACGCCAAGGTCCTGTTCGTGGACTTCAGCTCTGCTTTCAACACCATCCTGCCATCCCTGCTCCAGGACAAGCTCTCCCAGCTCAACGTGTCTGATTCCACCTGCAGGTGGATCACTGACTTCCTGACAGACAGGAAGCAGCGAGTGCGTCTGGGGAAGAATGTCTCGGACTCTCGGATTATAAACACAGGAGCCCCGCAGGGCTGTGTTCTTTCTCCCCTGCTCTTCTCCTTGTACACCAACCACTGCATCTCCTCTGCACCTCCAGCCATGACTCTGTGAAGCTGATCAAGTTCGCGGACGACACCACCCTCATTGGACTCATCACCAACAATGATGAGTCCGCTACAGAGGGAGGTGGACCGGCTGGTGTCCTGGTGTCTCCTACAGGAGGAGGTGGACCGGCTGGTGTCCTGGTGTCTCCTACAGGAGGAGGTGTCCTGGTGTCTCCTACAGGAGGAAGTGTCCTGGTGTCTTCTGGTGTCTCGACAGGGACCGGCTGGTGTCCTGGTGCAATGGTCACAACCTGGAGCTGAACGCCCAAAAGACAGTCGAGATGATAGTGGACTTCAGGAAGAGCACAGTCCCCCCACCCCCACCCTCCCTGATGGACTCCTCCATAACCTCTGCCCCCGCCCTCCCTGATGGACTCCCCCATCACCTCTGTGGAGTCCTTTCGTTTCCTGGGCACCACTATCACCAGGACCTCAAGTGGGAGCCGACCATCAGCTCCCACATCAAGAAGGCCCAGCAGAGGATGTACTTCCTGTGGCAGCTCAGGAAAGCCAAGCTGCCTGCACAGATGTTGGTGCAGTTCTACACGGCCATCATCAAGTCCATCCTCACCTCCTCCATCACCTCCTCCATCACCCTGTGGTTCGCTGGAGCCACAGTCAGGGACAAACAGAGACTACAGCGCATCGTGCGCTCTGCAGAGAAGGTGATCGACCGCAGCCTCCCATCGCTGCAGAACTTGTACGTCGCCCGAGCTCGAGGCCGGGCTGGTCGCATCACAGCCGACCCCTCTCACCTGCAGATGGACTGTTCCAGTCACTCACCTGCATATGGTCTGTTCCAACCTCTCCCCTCGGGCAGGAGGCTACGTTCCATCAAGACCAAAACCTCCATAAGAACAGTTTCTTCCCCTCTGCTGTTGGACTCATGAACACTTCATAACCCTCGCCCTTTATAAGTCACCTTACGGCCCCATAAAATTTCATCTTACTATCCCTTATTAAGTCACTTTAATGGCCATCATAACGTCACTTACAGCTTGTCACCTTATTGCACTGCCTACTGCATATTGTGTGCACCATGTGCACTTGAATATTGTGCATAGTAATTGTAATTGTAATAATTCTATTTTAAATTGTATTTCATAGAAGTGTATGCGGACTGCCCTGCCCGACCCGCCTGGGAGTGCTTCAGTCCTGCACCCGACCTGTCCACGTTCAATGGCCAATGGTCCACGTTCTGTAGCTTAGGTCCTGGATCTATAGCCTGTCCGTCCGTGGGAGCGGATCCCTTTCTCAATTGTGGGTCCCCCCGAGGTTTCTCACTTTTTCCCACTGGGTTGTTCTTATGAGTTTTTCTTTGGCAATGCAGGAGGGTCTGTTGGTCAGTTAGTGTCCAACTAGAAGGACTGTGGCATCACCACAGTCCTTCAGGACACTTTAACATTCTACAACATGTATGGACATTTTTTAACATGTGTTCTATATTCTTTCTGTGTTTTAACTGTTGATTCTCTGATCTGTGTTGGTGATTTAAATGGTTTTGTTAAGTCCTCTGAGATGACTTCTGTTGTGATTTAGGGCTATACAAGAATAAATTGTATTGTATTGTATGCTGATTTGTATTATGCCTACTCTATTCTCTATTCTTTACATCTCGTCTGATGTGCCCTGATGTGTCTTGATGTGTCTTGATGTGTCCTGATGTGTCCTAATGTGTCTTATGTGTCCTGATGTGTCCTGATGTTTTCTGATGTGTCTGATGTGTCTGATGTGTCTGATGTGTCCTGATGTGTCTGATGTGTGCGGGCACTAGGACCTCAGCGATGTTGTCTTTCCACACCTCTCTCAACAACAAATATAAACACAATGGTCTGTATGCTGCTGAAAGGTAGTGTTTGGAATCGACCGCATCAAGTTTCACTTCAAAAACATTCCTTGAGTTGAGTTTTCTTTCAAACATACTGTACTCTGCTGCAGAAGGGAAGAGGGCAGTGGCTGAGTGGTTAGCACGCTCGCATCTCAGCAAGAAGGTTCCAATCCCGGTTGGAGTAGGGCCTTTTTGAGTGGAGTTTGCATGTTCTCCCCATGCCTGCGTAGGTTTTTTGGGTGCTCCGGTTTCATAGACCATAGGTCAGAATGCGCCTCCTGTAGATGACTGACTGTTGGACTGACTGTTGGACTGACTATTGGACTGACTATTGGACTGACTGTTGGACTGACTGTCAGACTGACTGTTGGACTGACTTTTGGACTGTTGGACTGATTGATGGACTGTTGGACTGACTGATGGGCTGACTGTTGGACTGACTGATGGACTGATGGACTGACTGCTGGACTGACGGTCGGACTGACAGATGGACTGATGGACTGACTGCTGGACTGATGGACTGACGGTTGGACGGACTGTTGGACTGAATGTTGGGCTGACTGTTGGACTGATGGACTGACGGTTGGACTGACTTTTGGACTGACTGTTGGATTGACTGTTGGACTGATGGACTGACTGATGGACTGACTGTTTGACTGACGATTGGAGTGACTGTTGGACTGACTGCTGGACTGACTGTTGGAATGACTGATGGACTGACTGTTGGACTGACTGTTGGACTGATGGTGGACGGACTGATGGACTGTTGGACTGACTGTAGGACGGACTGTTTGACTGACTGTTTGACTGACTGTTTGAGTGACTGTTTGAGTGACTGTTAGAGTGACTGTTGGACTGACTGATGGACTGACTATTGGACTGATTGTTGGACTGTTGGACTGACTGATGGACTGACTGTTGGACTGATTGTTGGACTGACTGTTGGACTGACTATTGGACTAACTGATGGATTGACTGTTGGACTGACTGTTTGAGTGACTGTTAGAGTGACTGTTAGAGTGACTGTTGGACTGACTGATGGACTGACTGTTGGACTGATTGTTGGACTGTTGGACTGACTGATGGACTGTTGGACTTATTATTGGACTGACTGTTGGACTGACTGTTTGACTGACTGTTGGACTGACTGTTGGCCTGACTGTTGGACTGACTGTTTGAGTGACTGTTAGAGTGACTGTTGGACTGACTGATGGACTGACTGTTGGACTGACTGTTTGACTGATGGTTGGACTGACTGTTGAACTGATGGACTGACTGTTGGACTGATGGACTGACTGTTGGACTGACTGATGGACTGACTGTTGGACTGACTCTTTGAGTGACTGTTAGAGTGACTGTTGTACTGACTGATGGACTGACTGTTGGACTGACTGTTTGACTGATGGTTGGACTGACTGTTGAACTGATGGACTGACTGTTGGACTGATGGACTTACTGTTGGACTGACTGTTGGACTGACTGATGGACTAACGTTTGGACTGACTGTTGGACTGACTGTTGGACTGATGGTTGGACTGACTGTTGAACTGATGGACTGACTGTTGGACTGATGGACTGACTGTTGGAATGACTGATGGACTTACTGTTGGACTGATGTTGGACTGACTGATGGACTAACTTTTGGACTGACTGTTGGACTGATGGTTGGACTTACTGTTGGACTGACTGATGGACTGACTGTTGGACTGACGGTTGGACTGACTGTTGGACTGACGGTTGGACTTTTGGACTGACTGTTGGACTGACGGACTGACTGATGGACTGACTTTTGGACTGACTGTTGGACTGACAGATGGACTGACTGATGGACTGACGGTTGGACTGACTGTTGGACTTACTGTGAGACTGACTGATGGACTGACTGTGGAATTGACTGATGGACTGACTGTTGAACTGACTGATGGACTGACTGTTGGACTGACGGATGGACTGACAGTTGGACTGACTGTTGGACTGACTGGTGGACTGACTGTTGGACTGACTGTGGAATTGACTGATGGACTGACTGTTGAACTGACTGATGGACTGACTGTTGGACTGACGGTTGGACTGACTGTTGGACTGATGGACTGACTGTTGGACTGACTGATGGACTGACAGTTGGACTGACTGTTGGACTGACTGGTGGACTGACTGTTGGACTGACTGTTTGACTGATGGTTGGACTGACTGTTGAACTGATGGACTGACTGTTGGACTGATGGACTTACTGTTGGACTGACTGATGGACTGACTTTTCGACTGACTGATGGACTTACTTTTGGACTGACTGTTGGACTGATGGTTGGACTGACTGTTGGACTGACTGATGGACTGACTGTTAGACTGACTGTTGGACTGACTATTGGACTGATGGACTGACTGTTGGACTTATGGACTGACTGTTGGAATGACTGATGGAATGACTGTTGGACTGACGGTTGGACTTTTGGACTGACTGTTGGACTGACTGTTGGACTGACTGATGGAATGACTGTTGGACTAACAGACTGACTGATGGACTGACTGATGGACTGACTGTTGGACTGACTGATGGACTGACTGATGGACTGACGGTTGGGCTGACGGTTGGACTGACGGTTGGACTGACTGTTGGACTTACTGTGAGACTGACTGATGGACTGACTGTTGGACTGACTGTGGGACTGACTGATGGACTGACTGATGGACTGACTGTTGGATTGACTGATGAACTGACAGTTGGACTGACTGTTGGACTGACTGATGGACTGACTGTTTGACTGACGATTGGAGTGACTGTTGGACTGACTGCTGGACTGACTGTTGGAATGTGTGATGGACTGACTGTTGGACTGACTGTTGGACTGATGGTGGACGGACTGATGGACTGTTGGACTGACTATTGGACTGACCGTAGGACTGACGGTTGGACTTTTGGACTGACTGTTGGACTGACTGTTGGAATGACTGATGGACTGACTGTTGGACTGACGGTTGGACTGATTGTTGGACTGACGGTTGGACTTTTGGACTAACTGTTGGACTGACTGATGGAATGACTGTTGGACTGACAGACTGACTGATGGACTGACTGATGGACTTACTGTTGGACTGACTGATGGACTGACTGATGGACTGACGGTTGGACTGACTGTTGGACTTACTGTGAGACTGACTGATGGACTGACTGTTGGACTGACTGTGGGACTGACTGATGGACTGACTGTTGGACTGATGGACTGACTGTTGGATTGACTGATGGACTGACAGTTGGACTGACTGTTGGACTGACTGATGGACTGACTGTTTGACTGACCATTGGAGTGACTGTTGGACTGACGGTTGGACTTTTGGACTGACTGTTTGACTGACTGTTGGACTGACTGATGGAATGACTGTTGGACTAACAGACTGACTGATGGACTGACTGATGGACTGACTGTTGGACTGACTGATGGACTGACTGTTGGACTGACTGATGGACTGACTGATGGACTGACGGTTGGACTGACGGTTGGACTGACGTTGGACTGACTGTTGGACTGACTGATGGACTGACTGTTTGACTGACCATTGGAGTGACTGTTGGACTGACGGTTGGACTTTTGGACTGACTGTTGGACTGACTGTTGGACTGACTGATGGAATGACTGTTGGACTAACAGACTGACTGATGGACTGACTGATGGACTGACTGTTGGACTGACTGATGGACTGACTGATGGACTGACGGTTGGACTGACGGTTGGACTGACTGTTGGACTTACTGTGAGACTGACTGATGGACTGACTGTTGGACTGACTGTGGGACTGATTGTTGGAATGTTGGACTGACTGTTGGACTGACTGATGGACTGACTGTTGGACTGGCTCTTTGAGTGACTGTTAGAGTGACTGTTGTACTGACTGATGGACTGACTGTTTGACTGATGGTTGGACTGACTGTTGAACTGATGGACTGACTGTTGGACTGATGGACTTACTGTTGGACTGACTGTTGGACTGACTGATGGACTAACGTTTGGACTGACTGTTGGACTGACTGTTGGACTGATGGTTGGACTGACTGTTGAACTGATGGACTGACTGTTGGACTGATGGACTTACTGTTGGACTGACTGATGGACTGACTTTTCGACTGACTGATGGACTTACTTTTGGACTGACTGTTGGACTGATGGACTTACTGTTGGACTGACTGTTGGAATGACTGATGGACTTACTGTTGGACTGATGTTGGACTGACTGATGGACTAACTTTTGGACTGACTGTTGGACTGACTGTTGGACTGATAGTTGGACTGACTGTTGGACTGACTGATGGACTGACTGTTGGACTGACGGTTGGACTGACTGTTGGACTGACGGTTGGACTTTTGGACTGACTGTTGGACTGACGGACTGACTGATGGACTGACTGATGGACTGACTGTTGGACTGACAGATGGACTGACAGATGGACTGACTGATGGACTGACGGTTGGACTGACTGTTGGACTTACTGTGAGACTGACTGATGGACTGACTGTGGAATTGACTGATGGACTGACTGTTGAACTGACTGATGGACTGACTGTTGGACTGACGGATGGACTGACAGTTGGACTGACTGTTGGACTGACTGGTGGACTGACTGTTGGACTGACTGTGGAATTGACTGATGGACTGACTGTTGAACTGACTGATGGACTGACTGTTGGACTGACGGTTGGACTGACTGTTGGACTGATGGACTGACTGTTGGACTGACTGATGGACTGACAGTTGGACTGACTGTTGGACTGACTGGTGGACTGAATGTTGGACTGACTGTTTGACTGATGGTTGGACTGACTGTTGAACTGATGGACTGACTGTTGGACTGATGGACTTACTGTTGGACTGACTGATGGACTGACTTTTCGACTGACTGATGGACTTACTTTTGGACTGACTGTTGGACTGATGGTTGGACTGACTGTTGGACTGACTGTTGGACTGACTGATGGACTGACTGTTAGACTGACTGTTGGACTGACTATTGGACTGATGGACTGACTGTTGGACTTATGGACTGACTGTTGGAATGACTGATGGACTGACTGTTGGACTGACGGTTGGACTGATTGTTGGACTGACGGTTGGACTGACTGTTGGACTGACTGATGGAATGACTGTTGGACTGACAGACTGACTGATGGACTGACTGATGGACTTACTGTTGGACTGACTGATGGACTGACTGATGGACTGACGGTTGGACTGACTGTTGGACTTACTGTGAGACTGACTGATGGACTGACTGTTGGACTGACTGTGGGACTGACTGATGGACTGATGGACTGACTGTTGGACTGATGGACTTACTGTTGGACTGACTGATGGACTGACTGATGGACTGACGGTTGGACTGACTGTTGGACTTACTGTGAGACTGAATGATGGACTGACTGTTGGACTGACTGTGGGACTGACTGATGGACTGACTGTTGGACTGATGGACTGACTGTTGGATTGACTGATGGACTGACAGTTGGACTGACTGTTGGACTGACTGATGGACTGACTGTTTGACTGACCATTGGAGTGACTGTTGGACTGACGGTTGGACTTTTGGACTGACTGTTTGACTGACTGTTGGACTGACTGATGGAATGACTGTTGGACTAACAGACTGACTGATGGACTGACTGATGGACTGACTGTTGGACTGACTGATGGACTGACTGTTGGACTGACTGATGGACTGACTGATGGACTGACGGTTGGACTGACGGTTGGACTGACGGTTGGACTGACGTTGGACTGACTGTTGGACTGACTGATGGACTGACTGTTTGACTGACCATTGGAGTGACTGTTGGACTGACGGTTGGACTTTTGGACTGACTGTTGGACTGACTGTTGGACTGACTGATGGAATGACTGTTGGACTAACAGACTGACTGATGGACTGACTGATGGACTGACTGTTGGACTGACTGATGGACTGACTGATGGACTGACGGTTGGACTGACGGTTGGACTGACGGTTGGACTGACTGTTGGACTTACTGTGAGACTGACTGATGGACTGACTGTTGGACTGACTGTGTGACTGATTGTTGGAATGTTGGACTGACTGTTGGACTGACTGATGGACTGACTGTTGGACTGACCCTTTGAGTGACTGTTAGAGTGACTGTTGTACTGACTGATGGACTGACTGTTTGACTGACGGTTGGACTGACTGTTGGACTGACTGATGGACTGACAGTTGGACTGACTGTTGGACTGACTGGTGGACTGACTGTTGGACTGACTGTTTGACTGATGGTTGGACTGACTGTTGAACTGATGGACTGACTGTTGGACTGATGGACTTACTGTTGGACTGACTGATGGACTGACTTTTCGACTGACTGATGGACTTACTTTTGGACTGACTGTTGGACTGATGGTTGGACTGACTGTTGGACTGACTGATGGACTGACTGTTTGACTGACTGTTGGACTGACTATTGGACTGATGGACTGACTGTTGGACTTATGGACTGACTGTTGGAATGACTGATGGAATGACTGTTGGACTGACGGTTGGACTTTTGGACTGACTGTTGGACTGACTGTTGGACTGACTGATGGAATGACTGTTGGACTAACAGACTGACTGATGGACTGACTGATGGACTGACTGTTGGACTGACTGATGGACTGACTGATGGACTGACGGTTGGGCTGACGGTTGGACTGACGGTTGGACTGACTGTTGGACTTACTGTGAGACTGACTGATGGACTGACTGTTGGACTGACTGTGGGACTGACTGATGGACTGACTGATGGACTGACTGTTGGATTGACTGATGAACTGACAGTTGGACTGACTGTTGGACTGACTGATGGACTGACTGTTTGACTGACGATTGGAGTGACTGTTGGACTGACTGCTGGACTGACTGTTGGAATGTGTGATGGACTGACTGTTGGACTGACTGTTGGACTGATGGTGGACGGACTGATCAATCAATCAATCAAAGTTTATTTGTAGAGCGCCTTTCATACACAGGGCAACACAAAGCGCTTCACAGTCCACATCACAAATCATCACATAAAACAAACACCAGAATCACAATTAAAACATTAAAATCACACAAAAGATTAAAACACAATTAAAACATTAAAATCACACAAAAGAATAAAACCATTAAAACTTTCAAAATTACACAAGAAATTTAAAAAAATAAATAAATGACAGCAGTGCATTAAAAATGGAGATAAAATCCTTCAGTTATATGCACAGGCAAACAGAACAGTCTTTAACCTGGATTTGAACATTGACAGAGTAGACGCCTCCCTCACATTTTCAGGGAGATTGTTCCAGATCTTAGCTGCATGGATCTGAAACGCAGCCTCCCCATGTTTGGTTCTCACTCTGGGCACCAGCAGGAGGCCAGTCCCTGTGCTCCTCAGAGTCCGGGCCGGTTCATATGACACCAACATGTCACTAATGTATTCTGGTGCAAGGCCATGGAGAGACTTGTACACAAGCAGAGCCGTTTTAAAATCTATTCTTTGAGCCACAGGAAGCCAGTGCAGAGACCTGAGGACCGGACTAATATGGTCATACTTCCTGGTTCCTGTCAGGACTCTAGCTGCTGCATTTTGGATGTACTGCAGCTGCTTACAGGTCTGTTTGGACAGACCTGTAAGCAGGCCATTGCAGTAGTCTAGCCTGCTGGAGACAAATGCATGGACAAGAATCTCCAAGTCTGCCCTGGACACTATATTTCTAACTTTGGCAATGTTCTTCAGATGGTAAAAAGCTGTTGATGTTATTGATTTTATGTGGCTATTGAAATTTAGGTCTGAGTCCAGTATTACCCCCAAATTTCTGACCTTGTCTGAAGGAAGTAGGGAGAGAGACTGAAGTTGACAAATGACGCCCTCTCTTTGTTTCTGGGGACCAAAGACAATGATTTCGGTTTTGTCTGCATTTAGCTGGAGGAAATTATTTTGCATCCAGTCACTGATCTGTTGGATACAGTGAAGGAGCAAATCCAGTGGTCCATGTTCTCCTGCAGTCAGTGAGACATAGATCTGAGTGTCGTCAGCGTAATTGTGGTAGGACACTTTGTTTCTTTGTATTAACTGACCTAACGGCAGCATGTAGAGATTAAATAGGAGAGGTCCCAGGATCGACCCCTGTGGTACACCACAGGTCAGGGCCACATCATCTGAGACGCAGTCTCCAATCTCCACAGAGTACTTCCTATCCTCCAACCGTCAGTCCAACAGTCACTCCAATGGTCAGTCAATGGACTGTTGGACTGACTATTGGACTGACCGTAGGACTGACGGTTGGACTTTTGGACTGACTGTTGGACTGACTGTTGGAATGACTGATGGACTGACTGTTGGACTGACGGTTGGACTGATTGTTGGACTGACGGTTGGACTTTTGGACTAACTGTTGGACTGACTGATGGAATGACTGTTGGACTGACAGACTGACTGATGGACTGACTGATGGACTTACTGTTGGACTGACTGATGGACTGACTGATGGACTGACGGTTGGACTGACTGTTGGACTTACTGTGAGACTGACTGATGGACTGACTGTTGGACTGACTGTGGGACTGACTGATGGACTGATGGACTGACTGTTGGACTGATGGACTGACTGTTGGATTGACTGATGGACTGACAGTTGGACTGACTGTTGGACTGACTGATGGACTGACTGTTTGACTGACCATTGGAGTGACTGTTGGACTGACGGTTGGACTTTTGGACTGACTGTTTGACTGACTGTTGGACTGACTGATGGAATGACTGTTGGACTAACAGACTGACTGATGGACTGACTGATGGACTGACTGTTGGACTGACTGATGGACTGACTGTTGGACTGACTGATGGACTGACTGATGGACTGACGGTTGGACTGACGGTTGGACTGACGGTTGGACTGACGTTGGACTGACTGTTGGACTGACTGATGGACTGACTGTTTGACTGACCATTGGAGTGACTGTTGGACTGACGGTTGGACTTTTGGACTGACTGTTGGACTGACTGATGGAATGACTGTTGGACTAACAGACTGACTGATGGACTGACTGATGGACTGACTGTTGGACTGACTGATGGACTGACTGATGGACTGACGGTTGGACTGACGGTTGGACTGACGGTTGGACTGACTGTTGGACTTACTGTGAGACTGACTGATGGACTGACTGTTGGACTGACTGTGGGACTGATTGTTGGAATGTTGGACTGACTGTTGGACTGACTGATGGACTGACTGTTGGACTGGCTCTTTGAGTGACTGTTAGAGTGACTGTTGTACTGACTGATGGACTGACTGTTTGACTGATGGTTGGACTGACTGTTGAACTGATGGACTGACTGTTGGACTGATGGACTTACTGTTGGACTGACTGTTGGACTGACTGATGGACTAACGTTTGGACTGACTGTTGGACTGACTGTTGGACTGATGGTTGGACTGACTGTTGAACTGATGGACTGACTGTTGGACTGATGGACTTACTGTTGGACTGACTGATGGACTGACTTTTCGACTGACTTTTCGACTGACTGATGGACTTACTTTTGGACTGACTGTTGGACTGATGGTTGGACTGACTGTTGGACTGACTGTTGGACTGATGGACTTACTGTTGGACTGACTGTTGGAATGACTGATGGACTTACTGTTGGACTGATGTTGGACTGACTGATGGACTAACTTTTGGACTGACTGTTGGACTGACTGTTGGACTGATAGTTGGACTGACTGTTGGACTGACTGATGGACTGACTGATGGACTGACTGTTGGACTGACGGTTGGACTGACTGTTGGACTGACGGTTGGACTTTTGGACTGACTGTTGGACTGACGGACTGACTGATGGACTGACTGATGGACTAACTGTTGGACTGACAGATGGACTGACAGATGGACTGACTGATGGACTGACGGTTGGACTGACTGTTGGACTTACTGTGAGACTGACTGATGGACTGACTGTGGAATTGACTGATGGACTGACTGTTGAACTGACTGATGGACTGACTGTTGGACTGACGGATGGACTGACAGTTGGACTGACTGTTGGACTGACTGGTGGACTGACTGTTGGACTGACTGTGGAATTGACTGATGGACTGACTGTTGAACTGACTGATGGACTGACTGTTGGACTGACGGTTGGACTGACTGATGGACTGACTGTGGAATTGACTGATGGACTGACTGTTGAACTGACTGATGGACTGACTGTTGGACTGACTGTTGGACTGACTGGTGGACTGACTGTTGGACTGACTGTGGAATTGACTGATGGACTGACTGTTGAACTGACTGATGGACTGACAGTTGGACTGACTGTTGGACTGACTGGTGGACTGAATGTTGGACTGACTGTTTGACTGATGGTTGGACTGACTGTTGAACTGATGGACTGACTGTTGGACTGATGGACTTACTGTTGGACTGACTGATGGACTGACTTTTCGACTGACTGATGGACTTACTTTTGGACTGACTGTTGGACTGATGGTTGGACTGACTGTTGGACTGACTGTTGGACTGACTGATGGACTGACTGTTAGACTGACTGTTGGACTGACTATTGGACTGATGGACTGACTGTTGGACTTATGGACTGACTGTTGGAATGACTGATGGACTGACTGTTGGACTGACTGTGGAATTGACTGATGGACTGACTGTTGAACTGACTGATGGACTGACTGTTGGACTGACGGTTGGACTGACTGTTGGACTGATGGACTGACTGTTGGACTGACTGATGGACTGACAGTTGGACTGACTGTTGGACTGACTGGTGGACTGACTGTTGGACTGACTGTTTGACTGATGGTTGGACTGACTGTTGAACTGATGGACTGACTGTTGGACTGATGGACTTACTGTTGGACTGACTGATGGACTGACTTTTCGACTGACTGATGGACTTACTTTTGGACTGACTGTTGGACTGACTGATGGACTGACTGTTAGACTGACTGTTGGACTGACTATTGGACTGATGGACTGACAGTTGGACTTATGGACTGACTGTTGGAATGACTGATGGAATGACTGTTGGACTGACGGTTGGACTTTTGGACTGACTGTTGGACTGACTGATGGAATGACTGTTGGACTAACAGACTGACTGATGGACTGACTGATGGACTGACTGTTGGACTGACTGATGGACTGACTGATGGACTGACGGTTGGGCTGACGGTTGGACTGACGGTTGGACTGACTGTTGGACTTACTGTGAGACTGACTGATGGACTGACTGTTGGACTGACTGTGGGACTGACTGATGGACTGACTGATGGACTGACTGTTGGATTGACTGATGAACTGACAGTTGGACTGACTGTTGGACTGACTGATGGACTGACTGTTTGACTGACGATTGGAGTGACTGTTAGACTGACTGCTGGACTGACTGTTGGAATGTGTGATGGACTGACTGTTGGACTGATGGTGGACGGACTGATGGACTGTTGGACTGACTATTGGACTGACCGTAGGACTGACGGTTGGACTTTTGGACTGACTGTTGGACTGACTGTTGGAATGACTGATGGACTGACTGTTGGACTGACGGTTGGACTGATTGTTGGACTGACGGTTGGACTTTTGGACTAACTGTTGGACTGACTGATGGAATGACTGTTGGACTGACAGACTGAC